TTCCTCGGTTCGGTTCCATTCATTCCGTTCGGCTCCTGGGGCAGCCCTGCCGTGAGCCCCCAGCTTCCGTGCCGCTCTGCGGATCTCGGGAAGGCTGAGATCGGGAGTGCCAGTACCACGGCACCAAGCGAGGGATGGAGCGAACAGCGAGCTGAAGAGCCTCGGACACCCGTGCGCAGCACACCTCCTCACGCCTGCTCCCAGAGGGGTGGGAAAGCGCCGAGGCGGAGAGGAGCGGTGTTCCCAGCCTAGCCGAGAAGCAGAAGCCCCACCTCTCTATCAACAGGAACCCTTTGCGCCCCAAGTCAAAAGAGAAAGTTCTTGACGAAAAACTTTCTGAAGCGCCGAAGAGCAGCGGTGGCTGGGAAAAGTTCGGCCAGAGTTCTTTAGAAGCCGGAGGCTGGGGGCGCGGTCGGGGCTGGGCCCAGGGGGCGCGGGACTAGTTACTATAGGGGCGCAAAGGGAATGAAAGCGAGCCACCCTCTCCGGCTCACTCACTCGACTTCCAAGCGCTCACCTCTGGTCTCCAATCGGAGCGGCCAGGGTCCGGAGGGCGGGCGGGGTCGGGACGGGGTCGGACTGCCTGTCGGTGGGGCTGTCGGGCGAACACCCGGAGCGCACGGCCGGCGCGCGGGCAGACGGGTCCGCTGGGGCAGCGACGGGGAGAGTGCTGTGTAGTGCCCGCCTCGCTGCGTGCGACTGTGGCTGGGAGTGCGTTGCATCACCCCTTTTATAGCCCTCTGGCTGGCGCCGAGCCAGATTATACTCCAGTCCCAGGCTGATGTAATGCTATTAATAGCTTTCCCCGAGAACCAGCCGAACTAGACCGGGCAAGGGAGGGGGCTGGAGGAGGGGCCAAAGTGGAGGTGGTGGGGGGGAGAGGTGGGGACTGGTGATGCAAGCACGGGGAGGAGCCGGCCCGAGAGCGTCCTCCGGACTCGCGCGCTAGGACACAAACCTTCCCGCCCTCTCTCTCCATATCAGGACAGGAGTCGCTCGGGCTGGCCGCCAGATGTGCGTACTCGCTGCTGCGTGTTCCAGGCATGAGCCAATGGTTCCCAAGCCAGCTGCATGACTCCACCGCGCTGGCATCTCTCCCTCCGCTAGGTGGGGGGACGGAGGGAGGAGAAGGGAGAGGTGAGGGGGGGACGGCGTGAGGTGGATCTTGGCCGCAGTCCAGTCGAGGTGAAGCTGGGAAGCAGGCACATCCTTTCTCTAAAATGAGTGATCATTTTCTGGAGCTTCGGGAAAATATCCCCTCCCCCGCCAAACGCCTCCTTCCACGTAGGGGGCGGGGTAAGAACTGTAGGGTTAGCCTCTTTTGCCAGAGAGGTGCCCAGAGGCACCAACAGCGAACCCACACCGTTACCCGCCGTGGGTGACCTCCGCGGCTGGGACCGCGAGAAGTTGGCGGGTTAACCCAGAGCGGAGTGCAGTGCTCGGCGGGCACGGTGGGCTCGAAGCCTCGTCGCACACCACCCAGGGCAAATGGAACAGCCCCGAGGCGGGTTGGGAACCCGACCCCCGGCGAGGGCAAATAGGACCTTAAGGGTTAGGATTCTTTTTTTTCTTTAAAAAACCACAAGCGTTTGAAATTGATAGTGAAATGAAAATGACCATGGAAAGATGAGAGCTGGAGAAATCAGAGGCAACCCAGAGAGGGACTCAGAGTGGGGCTGAAGCCTCGAGGCCAGGGAGAGGAGGAAAGATAAGGTGCGTTGGTCTTATTTAGGTGCTTAGGGAAAGCGGTCTTGGGCTTTCACGTATTTTGTCGCGCCCAGAGCGATTGGGCTGGGACCGGACCGCGGGGACTGGGGACGCGCGGACAGCTGCGGAAATGAGGCCCTGGAGCAGAAATCCCTTCCGCCCCCGAGTGTGACGGGAGAGGCGGTGTCCCGTGAACCCAGGTCCCAGCCGAGGCTTCAGCAGAAATGGATTTGAACCTTAAAATGACTCCTTGGTTCGGATTCCCCGACCTTAGCTGTCTCGCCGGCCCATGGACGCATATATGTGGAAGCGAGTGTGCCCCTCGCTGTTTTTGAACCTGCCAGGGAGGGAGACCCATGCGTGCCCGTGGGGTGTGGGGGCACAGCCGGGGGCAGAAGCAACTGCTTCCAGCTGCCTCTTGGAAGAGAGGCGAGCGAAGGTCCAAGTTTGGTAATTTGGGGTGAGAACCAGAAGGGTCTCGCTCGCTCGCAGCCCCACCCCACGCACCTGCAGTCTTCTGCTCTTAAGGTGGTGATGGAGGGTCCCGTCAGCCTGTCTCGCTCGCTCTCTCCCTCACCCCCTTACACACACACACACACACACACACACACACACACACACACGGTATCTGTGTCTCTTTCTCCGGCCCCTCCCATTTTCCAACAGCCTGGGGCAGAGACCCTCAGAGCTGCAGGTAACTGAGTCCCGCATCCGGCTTCCTCTTCCTAACCCCAGCCTCACCCAGAACATCGCCCCCCACCCCCGCGCCACGGACCCCAAGTTTCGGGCTCAGGACACGCCGAGGGCGACCTCGGAAATTCCTTCTGTCCCCGGCCCGACCTGGAACCCCGGGGTTCCCCGCAGGATCCCCGAGAATGTTGTTCGGGACAGGATAGGGTTTACAGCTGTGTCGCGCGGGAAGCACTGGGCGATTGTTTTGCTTTACTTTTCTCCATGGTAACGGCTCTCCCGGCCACACCCTCCACACCCAGCCCCCTCCCGCACTCAGCGCCCCACAGCCCCAGGCCCGCCCTCCCGCCAACGCGTTGCGTTGGCTGGTAAACTCCAGGCGGACAGGTAAACTAGATTCGAATGAAAGGCGTTTGCCCATTTAAATGAAAGGTATTTGGGACTCTCTATTTATTGGGTTTACTTATCTACTGCCTGGGATAAAAGACACCATTATAAAGAGAAATGAGATGGGGGAGGACACATGAGAGCTTTCCCCTTCTGTTCCTCTGTGAAATCTTTAACCAGTTTACATTTTAAACTCTGAGCCACTCATACACCCAAGTCAGATGTATGGAGGTGGAGTCCAGTCCTGTAGGGGAAATACAACTTCAGGAGTCGGATACACAACAGCCAGACCAGCCTGCGCAAACCAGTGCAAGAGGAGGGAAATGAAGACGGAGAAGTCCGCAGCCTCTGCGGTTTGTTTTTGTTACCATAGTGCCTCCTGTTCCTCTTAGGAGTCTTGTTTCATTCTAATAATTCTTGTTTTTGAATCTTCAAGTCACACCTGGATAGAAATGCGGCCAGCTAGTCACAGAAGTCTGAGGCTGCTTTCTCTGCCAGCTTTCCCACTGAAACTCTAAAAGCGATAAGAATCTAGACACAGAAGTTAGTCCACCCCCTTGTGAATGAAACTCTTATCTAAGAAAAACAGAAAAGACGCCTGCCTGCCTCCCTGCCCCCAGCCCTCCGGAGAGCTGTGAAATGCCTGTCCAATGGCGGACTGGGAAAGTGGAAAGGAAGCGCCCCAAGGTCTGTATCGCTGAGGGGTGAACAGTATCTGCGCCCTCAGTTTACCCTGATTTAGTCCTGTGTGCACCCTCCGCACCGCACCGTGTAGAGGAGGGGCAAGAATAGCTCCCCAGACCACAATGCTTCTCTACACAAAGGCAAAGAGTCGCTGCCTCCGGAGAAGGAAGCCCTGGCTTTGGTTATTTCAGGGGTTAATCCTCAGTGAAAGAGGGTGAAGCAGAGACTTGAATATTGTTGAGGTTTCATGCTGGAGAACCGCCTGGGGAATCCACATTCAGACCAGCCTTAGTATGTTTTGCCGAGTGAGATAAGAACTGGAAACTTCATGTTGGGGCATGTGCAAAAGGAAGGGAAAAATGTTAAAAGGGGAGGGGTTGGAACTAGGCAGCTAAAAACAGCCCACTCGTGGCAACCGAATCTAAACACCAAACATTGCAGGGAGCCAAAAAAAAAAAAAAGTCCAGAGATATTTAAAGATTTTAGCAGTTTCTTAGTCCAGGGAACAGTTTCTTTCCACTCCTCCCCCCACCCCATTACTCTTCTTCAAACCCCAAGATTGTATTACTCACAGAGCTCTGGAGAGGCACATTAAACACAAGTTAAAGTTAGTCAGGCACTAGCAGTAAGTCAGTCCTCATGGCTCAACACATTTCACCTCAGAAAGTGTGGGGTAGCCCGGCCCGTGTGGCTCAGTGGTTGAGTGTGGACCTAGGAACCAGGAAGTCACAGTTTGATTCCTGGTCAGGGCACATGCCCGGGCCACACTGGGCTCTCCATCCCAGTGTGGGGCATGCAGGAGGCAGCCAATCAATGATTGTCATCATTGATTCTCTCTCTCTCTCTCCCTCCCTCTCCTCCCCCCCCCCCCCCCCTCCCCACCCCTTCCTCTCTGAAATCAATAAGAATCTATTTTTTTTTAAAAAAAGAAAGTGTAGGGTACATTTTCTTTTCTATTCTGTTTTCCAAAGCCCACACTTAAACTCAATTTGAATAGTTGGTATTACTAACTTCAGAGTCTACAAAATGGGCCTCTTTAGGAAACACGGGGAAGGATTGCATAATGGGCTTTGAAGTGTGGAAGTGGCTGTGTCACCTTGCATAAGTCATCTCGCATTCTGGCTTAAGTTTCCTTAGCTCAAACAGAGCACCAATAACAGTATCAAACACGTAAGTTTGTTGGAAGGCTTCATGAGGATGGGGCACACAGCTGGTCCTCAGTGATGGTGTCCTTAATTATGAATCAAGGAGGGCTTTCTGGGGATACCCCTGAATCTCTCCCAGAGCCCACTCTATCCGCTAGTCTGTGACAAACAATTGTAGATGAAGTCAATGGAATGGTCATCTTCAGGGGCTTGGGGATACGACTCCACACACAGAAACCAATGAGCATGATCCCTGTTCTCCACCCTCAGCAACTCTAGTAATTCAGGGGCTCTCCTCAGTGCATGGAGGACCAATGACCCATGCAAAATGTCCTGGGCTGGGAGCAGGAGATTTGGGTTTCGGTAGGGTTCTGCCTTTGGTATTCTTGAGCAGGACATTCCCCCCTTGGAAATGAGGAGCCCTGGGCTGAGCTTCTTTCTGTAGAGCCATCCTGAAAAACCCTGGCAATCTATCCTAACAGAGTTGGAGGGAGAGAAGGTGTCAGGGGGGAGGCACTGAATTGCACAATGACAGACCCATTTCCATAATCTCTTTTCCCCTCCAAAAAGCTAGAGAAATATTGTCTAACTTGATTCTCAAACACAGCCTATCATCCTGACAACCTACTCCCTCTCTCTCTCAATCTCTCAACACTTCCAAGAAAATTAGCCCCTGAACTTAGTGCCTTATTAGAGAAGAGAGTGTAAGAGCCCCCAAGCAGGGATTGCATTGTTGGGACCTTTTTTATGTGTAATCAATCTTCAACAGCCATAGACATCCACCTTGGACAGAGGACCAAAGCCAAGGTAGCAGCTACTCGCATTTAAGTGTGGGGATCCTGGAGCCCTGGGTACCGAAGATGGACTCCCAACAACCAGAATATTAGCAGGAATCAGGAGACCTGGGACCCACTGGGAGGTTTCCCTCTAGTCAACCGAGTGGCTTCCATAAATCATAAACACTTCATCTATGTTTAAAATAGGACTATTTAATATCAACTCTGTCCAAAGGATTGTTGTAAGAATCAATGAGATAACAGATGTAAAAGCGATTTGAAAATAATTAAAAGAAGCATACTTTTAAAGATTCTTTTGGGAGAGCTTTT